ATCACTTTCCTTCAAAACCTGTGTCACGCGTGTTGAGTGTTATGAAAACAACAGCGAAACAACCGTCTTCACATCGATGGCCTTGTGGATGCTGCGTCGCTCCTCGCAAGCAGCATCCAGCTTCTTCAGGTCTGCCTCACGCGAGCATCACGGTCACGGGAGCGCGGGTGGCTCTTTCGCGAGAGCATCTGCCACGCCTCTAGAAGCTCCTCGGCTTGTAGAAGACGCTTTGCATCCGCTGGTGATACCTTGCCAAGGAAGTGCCCCGCCCGGCATGACTTTAGGGCTGTAGGTGTGGCCTTGTCATTTCTCGCTCTAGAAAACGAGCCTTCGCTTTGCATGCGTTGCATTCTACTCCTTGGAGACCACGCCCTTCATCAAACCTGACCGACTTCAGCTTTTGCTTCAGCTTTGCAGAAATTTCGGCAAAAGCTCTGATCCGAGGAGGCTGCAACAGCTGATGGAAGACCTTAGTGGTTGGTGGCTACATGGATGTATCAAAACTCTCGGGAACCGCGCAGTTTGATCGCTTGCGAGTGGACATCAATGAGAAACCGGCACCACAAGCCCCGCATTTTGGGCATCGAAAGCCACGGCAAGGATCCCAACCAACCTACACGAAGTTCACTACAGTTAGCATGGATCTCCCTCATGGGCCTAGCCCCTAGCCATGGCGAAGAGGCAGTGACAGCTGTGCCTCATCCGGCGGCACGGGCGCGCACCGCTCGCAAGTGCAGTCGAACTGCTTCGTGCTCTTCAAGGACCTCTCTGAACACGCTGCTAAGCCGCAATGTTTAGGACGAGTTCCGAATGCACGTGCAAGCCAAGCATGCGTGGAATCGTTCGGATGCTGTTGACGCTTTCGGCATACTTTACTAGCACAGGTAGCAGCAGAGCTAGCGCTGCAAGGGCGAGCTCTAGGTTGCCACCAAACGGGAATTAGTTTTGGAAACAAGTTCTGTCGCCACCAAGCGAGAGGAAATTTTTGCGAGAGATGACCAACAACGGACTCACACACACACACACACTCACACACACACACACACACACACACACACACACACACGTAGATGAGGTCGGGAAGCTTTTTGCGTTCCTCTGCGGAGTGGAGAAGCACATCTTCTGGAAGGTATGAGATGCAGACCTGACAACGCGCCACCACGGCCAAGCAATTGTGAGATCTTGTAGCTGTAAATGTCAGTAACTGTCAGCAGCCTCATCCCCAGGAGAAATATCTCGGCGGGCCTGGCTGGCAAGCCCGGCCGCTGCTCCCCGGCGTGTTTGTCAATTTGTTTTCCGTAGAGTAAGCCGCAATAAGTCACCGACTGCCATCAACAATATTGTACGGGTCTTCGCTGAACGACAAGAGCCCTGTTAACTCACGATATTTCAGACGGTTTCATGAAAGATAACGCACCAAAAGCCTTATGAACCGAACAATCGTTGATTGGGCTCTTTCTCGCAGTTCTTCGTTCTGGGTTTCAGGCGTCTGGCCACTTCCCTGTCTGTCAATTGAGAACCTCTACTCTGCCATGCCACGAAGATCCCTGGTCGGGTGCTGCAAGGAGCCGCGTTGGCGCCGTTAGCTGTTAGCTTTTAATGGGGAGCACGATTGTTGCCCACCCGGGTAGGTGACTGATTTACAGCATGCGATGCCCGGAGGCTTTTCAAAGGCCTTTCGGGGGGGACCGGAACCATCCAAAAGAAAAGGATGTGCCATTGATGTGCCGTTTCTCTTCTGTACATAGGACATAGGATTTTGGGGGCTTGGGAAGGCTCTCCCGAGCACTTTCTTTTGGTCTCTTTGGAGTCTTTTGATATGCCTTCCTTCTCCACGACCAGACCCGCACAGTTGCTGCAATTCGAGGCTATCACAATGCATTCATAAACGAAGAAGCGAGTCATACAGAAACCTAGCTGAACATATCAAACTCGCTTCTGACACGTGCCGGCTGCACACGTAAGATGTGAAGCCCATCGTCCCCCTCACTCCAGATGCCATTCCTGAGGTCACACGCCGGTCACGTGAACGGAGCTGAGCGACTCAGCTCCCCCGCTTCGACTGCACTGCGCGGACCAAACTTGCAAACGCTTGCCCTGATTGCATGCCTTTGCTGCAAAGATTCGCTCCACAGGAATGGGATACGAAGGATGACGCAAAGTAGGCAGAATATCCAAGCGGATCCTCTGAGTGCTCGAAGCCTGTGGTTGATTGAGGCTGAGTTTGATCATGGGCTTGTTTCGCTTTGGTTCTTCGGAAACTTTTGGGAAGCTATTTCACATGATCTTACATGCATCTCCATCCAAGGTGCAGTTGAGGATCCACGCCTTCCAACATGTTCTGCTCAAGATACTACAGTGCCTACAACCATCTTTGAGGTGGATTTCTTCACGAGCCAAGAAGAAATACGCCGCCTGCAATAGCTCCTCGACTAGCACAGCTGGCGTGGAAAGCCCTAGTTGCTTCACCAACTTCTTCACCGCATCAGACGCCTCATTCAAGTGAAGCGGTGTAGCCGATATCACTTAGCAAAGCCATGCGAGGGTTGCATTCTGCTTCTGCTAGGTTCGCTAGGTCATCGCAGCAGTCCGAGTGTGGTGCACTAGCGGAAACTCGCAATGTTGTGAGCATTCGCTGCATATCGCTGCGCAGTATTTCCAAACTGGGACAGTAGGCGTTCGTGATGCCGACGCCGCTACATCACACATCCCTTGCACCTCGTCAACGGGCTCGTGAAACAGGCAGAGTAAACGCTTTTGCCTTAGACCACATTGAGCTGCATGATGCATGCGGGAACAACATGAAGAAGAGCCCCGTCATACAGAAAATGTGCTGTGGGAGCGTGACTGATGTGACCTCAAGCTGCAGAAGAGTTGCTGCAGAGCTGTCACTGGCTTCAAGGATCCTATCTTCGGTTTAGGTGACAGCTGCTCCTGCGACATGCGGCTTCTGTTTCTGCCGCTGCACACGGCATAACACTGCTGCAGTCCTCGGTGAGAGAGCAGAGTGCTGTCCAGTACCAGAGAGGCTCATAGTCAAAGACAGACGGCTCCTTGGATACATGTTGCAAGCATACATGCCGTCTGCACACGCCAAACACATGTCACACATGTGGAACCCTTGCAGGAAGTGAGGCTGCCGCAGCCTTGCATAGTCGCTGCACCAGCTTGAAAGCCTGCTTTGCGGCCATATTTCAGAACCCACAAGTAACAGGCAGTCTTCCCACCATCGCCTCATTTCCTGCGTCCTCAGCAACGATATGCAATGGTGGCTCCTGCAAGAAACAATTCCATACCAGCACGCTGGCATTGAGCATGCTGCCAGCTGATTGTCCTCGAAGAGAAGATCACCCTGAGCAACTGGAACCTTCGAGATCATTATCCTGCAAAGCTGGATCGACGGAGGTGGCCAAGCCCCCCAGCATTCTGTGAGGCATCGCGCATTACGTTCCAACAGGCTGTCCTGCCCTTGCCCTCGGCAAGCGTGCACTCAAACCTACTGCCGAAATGCTCGCGGCAGTACTCGTTGATCGTATCCTCAGTGGTGGTTGCAAAAGACAACAGGTACATGTGCTCAGAGCGGTGTAGCGTCGGGATAGCTGAATTAGTTTCACTACCTGCTTGGCGCCTTAGCTTCGGTGTCTTGCAGCTGCTGGCCAGTTCACTGTAGCTGCTAGAGGCAACAGTGCTGTCCTTCATTTTCAGGGTTGACAAAGGTCGCTAGCTCTGAAGCGATTGTGAGAATGGGTTGCATTGATGTTGCTGCTCCTGTCATTGCTGCTGATGCGGCTGTCGCTGCGCGTTGGCACAACTAAAACTGAACCTGGCGAAAGGTTACCCACGTAGTTTTATTTTGCAACATGCCATGTTTTCTGCGGGCAACTGCGAATGGCTTGAAATGCGAATGTATGGCCGTTTTGCCCATGACTTACCCATGTTTCTGCCGATTTCTGCCTGATAGGTGACTCGAAGATACACCAGGGTCATGCCGGTTCGAGCTCGTTGTTTGTACATTTTTCCATCCAACAAATTACCCAAGCAACCTTACAGGCATCTTACCAAGTGGACAGCAACGGAGTTTTGATGCATACAACCTGCCGCAGCGAGCTTTCAGACCTGCTCTTGCACCGGCGAAGTTGATTAACCAGAGTGTACCAGAGCACCGTCGAATTAAGCCATGGCTCTATGTCCCAGTCGTCCATCTTTCCGCCTGGCCGCGCTGGCCCTTAGCAAGGGCTCTCTTCAAGTAATTACACGCAGCTTGACGCTTCGTACCGCCCCCGTGTGCAAAAGCGCCATATAGTGCAATGTTTGACTGCACGAATTCGCAACCCTCCATCCGAAAGCATCAGACGAGAAGCCAGCGTCTGGCGGCGATATGACAAGACATCCGGCAGAGGATTTTGAGCCAAGCTGCTAACGCAAGCATGAACCCTGTGAATGGTAAGCAGGAAGCAGCATTGCAAAGCTTGACTTGGAGGCGGCTTGACACATTCCGAGACGGATTGAAACTCCGTATTAGAACTTCAATCCGAATTCTGCTTATCTTAAGCCACGCCACAGCTGTGATCCTCGTTGAAAGCGGCTTGAATGCTGCCCTGCTAGGCAGGTGGCGACAATTTCCCCATGGGCAAAAACAAAAGCGACATGGGGCAGGTACTGCCAGTTCCTACTTCCTACCAGCTAAGCAAGCCGAAGAGCTTGGAGGCCTACTCCGCAAGGACCACCGGCCGCCAGCAGCGCAACATCGAGGCGAATATCTACTGCGACTACAGCAGCAACCACAAACTTGGCCACCTGTCTGCATCACATTTGCCCGCTTGGGTCTTCATGCACGATTGCTTTTGCGTGGCACTTGAGCAGAATTCCGGCCACCAAACTGGGACCTAGGACTGTGCCGTTTTCCAATCTGCACAGTCGAACGCGAATCTTCGTGATGGCTCATGCTTTGGCTACAGGGCTACAAGTTTGTGCTTTATGTGCTTCCGCTTATTGGGCACCTCGCGGACCATCTGCAGCTGCGCGGCATTCCACAAATCCTTTCAAACATTGTGATATGGCCTATTCTGCTCAGCGCATGGCATCTCAAAGATCATGGGCATGCTTTTGGCACATTGACTCAACTGCCCATCGTGGTGGTCAAGAGTCGTCATGCGTTTTGGCATTCTCCAGCTCCTGGCCGTCATTGTTTTGGCCGAGCTTCAGCACTGAAACCGGCACAAGAATCATGGTTTCTGGCAGCCACAGGCAGGCTTGACTGCCAAATTTTTTTGGGGCATGCCTAGCCTCCCTTGAGTACAGGTGCTCTCGCTTATCCTTGGCATGGTCCTGGCACATGTGGCCACCATCGGTGTCAACAGCGGCAAAATATTCGCATGGATGGTGCGCTGTGTGGCTGTGTGGCAACCTACCGTAACCGCACGCAACCGTCCTTCAGAGTTTGCTGGGCCCAACCTGCAGCTCCTTCCAAGCTGTCATAGCGGGCCTGGAAGGCAATCCGCCCCCGCTTTTCTTCATGCTAGGGCTGGTGGCTAAGGGGCCCACGTTGTAAAAGCAAAAGTTGTCTGACCTAGGAGTCGCTCAGATACGCTCGGTCATGGCATTGCCCCAAGATTGCATCGAGCACTACCCCGTGTCAAGCTTGGGTAGCGGCAACTCCCGTCTCACAATGCTCTCCTCAATGAAAGCTTCACCTGAGCGGGAGTAGCAGACAGTTGTCAATGTTGTCAGTAGCCTTTCATTCTGAGTCATCCGGCCATGAGCGTGTCACAAGGACTGATTTGCCTTTTTGTTCACGGGATGTGATCGAAGGCCTAGAAGTTTCAAGTCGGGATGACGTGGCAACCTATATGAGGCTCATGGCTCATGTCGCAACACCATCTCCTCTCGACAAATGGCGGATTTGTGAGTTCAACATACGAACAAATGCAGGCTGACCGCAAGGGGACAGCAACCGCGATGCAAATCACCCGCATCACGCAGGTCACATGACAATCGCATCGCGCCTGCCGCGCTGCAATTTCTCTTCTGCATATTTCTGCAGGGGGTCATTTGCCGGCCGTTGGGCGAAGTGCAACAAGCCATCTGCACTCGGCTGCGTAGTTCCATTGAGGCGCTGTAGAAAAGCGAAACCATGCCATGGCAGTATGTTGGTTGATGCAAAAAAGGGTACGACACCCCAAGTAAACATTTCAGTGAGACCTTTATGCACATGCCTTGACTGGATTGCTGGCCATGCTGTGTACCTGAACATCCGGCGAACTGTTGTTGGCACGCCTAGTCGGTGCAACCCTTCCTTTCGCACATCCTACACACTTCCACTTCCACCGTCTTGCGCTCGCAATCGGCTCACGTTTGTGTGACACAATGTTCTCACAAGCCCGCTGCAAACGACACACGTTTGTGTAAACCTGTCTGTCCTTGTGTATCTGCGAGGGTTGCCAGAGCTGGCTCAAGCTAATGTAGCTGGCCATTCTCTCCAGCATGTGGCAGGGGAACTGTCGTCCACTGTACTGTACATTGCTGCGAGTGCGCAGAGGTCTCAAAATCACAGTGTCGTCTCAGGGCACGGCAGCTCTTCTTCTCGCCGGCTGTCGCAGACTTCGCCTCCCCGATCCGGCGTACACGCAGAGCCTTGGAACTAGCATTGAAGAACGGCAGACTCTTTGTAGCGCTTCGTTCTATCATGAGTCTTTTAATTTGGGTTTGGTTCGGTTTCCCTAGCTCCTCTAGCTCCTCAAGATTAACAGGAACAACAAACCCCCACTTTCTCTATCACTATCTTTTGCCAGGAAACAAGCTGTACATCCTCCACAGTTTGGAATGAAAACCTCCATTCACTCAATTCACCCGACACTTGAATAGGAACTTTCCTCCACACTTGAGTAGAACGAAATCTATTCCCTCAGGAAACCTCTTATCGGACTTTCGCCAAAAGCTTTTTCCCTCGAAACAAGTGAGTGACGGTGTTGCACTTTCGTAGGTGGGTCATAGCCTGCGTGACATGGAGAGGATTTAGAGTATGAGCCCCAACCTGCTGAAGCTGCGCCGTGGATGTCAGCAACGAGCAACCGTATGGGGAGGAAGTGAGCCCTTCAGCAGTGGGCCTCGAGCCGGGTGCTGCAGGCGAACCGGAAGACGTGGAGAAGTGTGAGGGGCTGTCACGTAAGAGGCAAGAACAGGAAGCTCGACAGCTTCTGGAAAGTCAAGAAGAGCTGGAGCTGACCGACGAGTTCCAGTCTGTGAAGTCTCCCGGAACATCAGCCAAGAGGCCTGGAAGCTCAAGAGGTCCACAGGTCCAAGGTGCCCAGGCGCAAAGGTCCCAGGTGCCCTAAATGCTAAGGTGCAAGATCCACAGGTCCTCGGTGCCCAGGGCCACAAGCCTTGGGTGCCCAATTACAAGGTCCGCAAGTTCCAGGTGCCTGCCTGCAAGCTTCGCAGGCTATGTGCAGGGGAATCAGGTTCAGGATACTGCCCAGGTCCAAGGTAGGGCCTTGTCCGAGGTCCTCACGCGCATCATTAAAGTGACAGTCAGGTAAGAAAGCTGAGGCGCAGGTCCTAGGCACTTATGTTGAAAATGCAGAAGGTCTTTGTGGTTCTGGAGGGTCAGGAATTGGAAGGCGTTATAGATCAGCAAGGGCGTCTCCAGCTAATTCCCGACTACGAGTACTTCTCGATTGCATCTGAAGATCCACGCCTCCACTTCCAACATTTGGGAGACAGCAGGGACAGAGGGGCAGGAGGGCGGAGTCGACGAGTAAGAAGGCGGGTTGAAAAGTCAGGCCAGGGTGGAAAATCCTGTTGCTTCCATCATCTTGCCATTGATGTGAGAGAAGACCTGCGTCGTCTTGCTAAGCAAGGAAAAACCTGGCAGCAATTGGTGGACCACCATCTACCACCATCCGTGGAGGAAAGTGCAGAGTCAGCCAGCCACGGACCTCGACCAGTGAGGATCCGGGCTGAAAGCGTAGCAAGCACTGAGGGACTAGAGCGACCCATGCTGAGGCAGGGGTGAGAAGAGTTGATGGCTTGCTATTTATGAAGCAGCTTCTCCTGTATGTTGTTGCTGCAAGGGTTAATAAGGTCTTGGGGTTAAACAGCCGGATTTTGAAGTTGAGCAGCCACAGGACCCTGAAGAATGGTGCGGGAGCAGTGGCCCACCTAAGCACCCACCGAAGATCCACCAGTGGAGACCCGAGACCGGCTTCGCCGTGCACAGTTGATGGAGCATAGCAAAGCGTTGGCAGACGCCAATTTGGATAAGCAGGGTGAGTGCACGCGGTGCAAAGGGGTTGTGCTCTTTCGGTTGGTTGGTGGTTCATGTACAATTTCCCCGTCCAACCATGAAAGGCTAGAGGTAGACGAACCAGTAGTGATCACTGTAGCCTAAGCATGTCCTAAACAGGGTTGCCCCTTTGCGTAGAGCTAAGTGTCAAAGTCACCATCCTGCACTTTTGGAGGCGGGTCATAGCCTGAGTGTGCAAGACACGCAGTGGCAATGAAAGTGGTAGCGGTTGTAGTAGCAGCAGCTGTAGTAAAGTTCATGTTAGCTCCTTTTGAAATGAATGAAAAAGCTTGAAATCAAGGAGCTTTCGCACTCTGACGAATTACAGACGGCTCATGAATAGCTTCCTTGGACTTGACCGGGTTTCGCATTCGCATCCTTCATAAGAATTTCAAAGAATAGAATGTGGTTTGGAATGCATCGGGCTTCATCAGCTCATCGAAAGTAGGAGAGATTTCCGGCATGAGATACATTTCCAAATATAACTCCAAGGATGTTACGGCTTTGCATGAGAACACGAGGCTCAAAACGAGCTTCGAACGGTGCCATGACGCACTTCAAAAGACTTCATACCATTCGCAAGAAATCATGAAATCCAAAAAGGGGTTTGGCATGGTTTGGCATTCATAAGATTCATTGACCTTTTGCGGAACTCCTATGAGGTTGCATGAGTTTGGATAGGATTCGAAAGCAACTCATGCAAGTTGCATTAAATCCATCCTTCTGTCGTTCTTGCCTACCTTAGAGCTTCTAGAAATGCACAGGGTTCTGTGCCATCCAAATATGAAGTACATCGACGATTTCTCTAGAAATCTAGAGATGACTCCTCTGGACATCTGGAGCAAATAAAGGGCGTACTAAAGTACACAGGAAACAAAGCGTTTCCTTAGACAAATCCAAGGAACACGGCCGAAAACAAAAGACAAAAACCAGCAAATCCAGGCACTCCACACAGCTTACCTGCCTTGTAGGCTCCCATCTGAGCTTGCCGCGCATCTTTGTGCAGAGATTTGCCCTCACATACACATGTCATAACAGTTCCGTACGCTGCACCGAGCACCCTTCATTCTGAACCTTATTGCCGCCTAAGGTCCAAAATGCAGCCAGGGCGACAATCCTGACAGTGCATTTTCCTGAGCAGCGTGTGTGTGTGTGTGTGTGTGTGTGTGTGTGTGTGTGTGTGTGTGTGCGTCTGTGTGTCTCAGTGCGTCTCTGTGTGTCTCTGTGTGTCTCTGTGTGTCTCTGTGTGCCTCTGTGTGTCTGTGCGTCTCTGTGTCTCTGTGTGTCTGTGTGTCTGTGTGTCGGTGTGTGGGTGGGTCGGGTGGGTGGGTGGGTGTGTGGGTGTGTGGGTGCGTGGGTGTGTGGGTGTGTCGGTGTGTGCGCGCGTGCGTGCGTGCATGCAACCCTCAGTGCCTACCCAACTACGCACGCACAGAGCACCTTTTGGCTGCAAAATTCTGAAACCGTTGAAGGGGAAGGAAGGCACCCTCCTTCCCAATTCTCTGAAATCACCGGGCCATTGGGCCGAAAGCAAAGCTGGAGCTGCCGCAGCCCAACTCCCCCTCGGGGGCGGGCGGGCGGGAGACTCCAAATTGTGATATCAATATGATATATCTCAATCTGACCTGACACAAGCGTGGCCTGAAGCAATAAGGCGAGAAGCAGAGTACATGCTACGTGGACTAGGGTTGAGGATTTGCTGTATGCGCTGGCCATTAGCCCAACCTACCCCAGCGCAGACAGACCAACCCTCACAGTGCCTACCCAACTACGCACGCAGAGGGCATGGGCGGACACCTTTTGGCTGCAAAATTCACCCTACTTCCCAATTGTCTGACATCACCAAAGCAACGCCGCAGCCAAGAGCCCATGCCCGGAGCCAGAACCACAACCCCACACGAAGCGCGACTGGCGGGGCTCCCTAGACAACTTAGCAGCGCCAACGCACGGCAAGCAAACAAGACACGTCAAGCCACGCGGCGCGAAGCTCCAACTGCACTTTGGAATAAAGGGCATCCTGCCCTCACCAACAGGAAAGCAACTGACTGACGCGCAGCTATCTTGGCAGCTTCGCCTGAGACAGACGACAAGGTCTGCCGGCCTGCATGATACTCCGCCAGTCCAAGCGCCTGCGCCGAGCCAGACTCAGCTGGCTCCAGAAAGTTGCATCTTGGGATGCCCCCCGGGACCGGGCATCAGCCCAGCAACGGCATCTTCGACGCGGAAGGCGGCTGCTGTACGGGTATCCCGGATTTCCATAACATACGCAGGCGGGCAGCATGAGGGTGAGTGCCCCAATCCTCATCGCTGAGCGCAGTCAGATCTGCATCGCCAAGTTTTGTGACGTAGCTTCTTCAGCCAACCCTCAAAGGCTTGGAACAAGCCCTCTTCGTCATAGCCAAGCCGGATAATCGCGTCAGCAATAGGCTCCTGCACCCCGGCTTGCACCATGGTGGTACGCCACGAGGCTGCGTGCTCGCGGGCATGACAAAGCGCGCAAAGCAAGCAAGGAAACAACGCAGAGCGGTTCTACGCACCCTGACTAGCGAGCCAAAGCACACGAACGCTGGTCCGCCTGACAAGGCCATGGGTAGTGTCATAAATTCCGGCAGCTCCTGCGAGAATAGAAAAGCAGCAAGGCCCAAAGCCCCTGCCAAGGTACTGATTGTAGTTGTAGTACTGAGCACAAAACAAGAGCCCAAAGCTCAAACAATATAACGCAGCAGAAAGGCCGAAAGCCCCTAAGAAATGACAGGCCCCCAAAGGGCTGCGCGAAACAATACAAACAATAACCGTTTGACAAGCGCAGCAGAAAGGCCCAAAGCCCCTGCGAAGTGACAGGCCCCCAAAAACCAATGCGCTTTTTTATGTCAAAATAAGAGCTTGGGCTGCCTCAGCCAGAGCTCCAGCAGCCCGAATGGCCGCATGACCTGAAACCGTGAAAACAGGGGTTGCACGTCCAGCGCACATATTGCTTTCCGAGCTGTAAACTTGGCCGACACGCCAGGACCCACACGGACTTATGAGCGCAGCCGGAAACTGTGTTCAGAAGCCAGCTACCTTCCAGGTCAGCCAATGCGAGGGTAGGGGCCACGCTAGCCACGCTAGCTTCACAGCCCCCCCCGTCCTCAGAATCAGCAACTTCGGCATCCACGGACTCCGCCTCAGTGTCGGAAGGTATAGCTCGCCAGGCTCTGCATCCTCTTCCACACGGCCGAGGCCTCTGTCCACAGGCACATAGGGGCGCCAACCATCACGCAGTTTGGCGACCGCCTTGCGCTGGCAACTGTTGAGGATTGATGTCATCACGAGAATAACGCTTCACGCAAGCAGAGACGGTTGCCGATCTGTGATGCCCCTGTGCCTCCCGGAGCACCTCCGGCACTTCCACCTGTGATGACCAGGCCAGCGTGGTCTTTAGCGAGTGCAAGGTGAACCGACTTGCCACGCTGGGTGACAGGCCAGCATGAACCACGAGACAGCGCCGGAAGGGTGCCAGCATGCCAGAGTAGCCAAGCGGTTTTCCCTTGCAGTCTAGCACAAAATCACGCTGCAGGCGCGCATCTCGCGAGCTGCAGACCTGCCTGAAAAAACCGAGGCCCAACCACTGTTCAAGAGGCCGCAGGAGAGGCAGCCCCAAGGCTTTTTTTGCGTGCTTGACGTAGTTCTCCAACACCATCCTGCTAGATGATCGCTACCCAGCGCAACCGAAGCCAAGTCCAAACGCTGCATGTCGGTGTAAGCTCGCCCAGGCCATTACCAACAGTACGGATAAGAGGAGGCAGTCCTCACCGGCCCCGTTGAACAGAACAACCAGAGGAAGCGGCAGCGCCTCCTTTGCTGCCGCGTCCACTCAGCGGAATTCTGCCACGCTGCCACTAAGGGCTCTCAAGCACACTCTGAAGCTGCTCCACTTGGAACTTGTAAGCCACAAACTTTAGCGCTGAAAGCACGCCAAGCGCTGTCGTGCGACGGCGGCGGCCGCGGCCTGTAATGGCGCCCTCTGAAAAGCTGGCCAGGAAGTCCAGCATCTGTGACAGGCTTGGACGACATGCCGGCCAGGCCGGTGTGTGTTGGTGTGTGTGGGTGTGTGTGGTGGGTGTGTGTGGGTGTGCGTGGGTGTGTGTGGGTGTGTGTGGGTGTGTGTGGGTGTGTGTGGGTGTGTGTGGGTGTGTGTGGGTGTGTGGGGGTGTGTGGGTGTGTGTGGTGGGTGTGTGTGGGTGTTGGGTGTGTGTGTGTGTGTGTGT